CTACACACATACGTCATACGCTCTTCGGGGTTTACGTTTAGACACCGGTTTAAACACTTCCCATCCTCGACAGAACAGAACAAAGAAATCGGTTCAGATACCAGAAGACAGCAGCAAAAAAGGAGACAAAAAACACCAGGTCCTGAAGTGAAAGTAATAAGAAGCCGGGACATACCTACACATAGAGGAGAAAAAAGGCCAGATAACCAATAGCAGTAGGCAACATCCGAAATGGAAGAAGCCAACGTACTCGCTAAAGCAAAGAAACCTTGGGTAAAAAGTTAAAAACCCTATTTTCCAATTACAAAAAGGACCCCCATGGGAGAAAAAATGAACAATATTTTCTCAGAAAAACTGCCGGGCTTGAGTCCATTTGAAAAAATATTGAAGAAAACCATAAACAACTTATAGAGCTTGACTTTCCGACGCATCCGTACCTATTTTACAGACGATTATTTTTGTCAACTACAGGAATTATTCCAAGAAATCACAAAACACATTACCGATTCCAAACAAAAGCTTCGTCAGGCAACCAAACCACCCACACAACAAGGAGCCTCATACTACGATCCAAACCAGTATCAGGCAACGAAAAATCGTTTGAAAGAAGAAGAGGTCCGAATGAACCAAATGAGTCAAACCTTAAAACATCTCAAACGACCTAATCAGTGAGCAGCCTTCCAACCGTGACCAGTTTCCATCAAAGAAGCTATCCAAGCAATGGAACGTTATCACTGAAATATACATCGAGCTTAAGGTTCAGGGAATTGATAGTACTCAGAAATCCCATTCAGAATCTTGAAAAGCGGTACGAAAAAAACAGTACAAAACCTCCAAGATAAGATTCAAGGAGTAGAACAAGCTGTGAAACAATGCAATATAATATTACCTCAAATCAAACTATGTACCAATTTTTGAAGGCCGATATGAAGAGTGGATCACATTTCGAGACATTTTCATTAAAGTGGTTCATGAAAATCCAACAATTACGACAATAGAGAAAATGCAGTATCTTGAAAAGCATGTGAGAGGGGAAACTGGAAGACTGATCCAGCACCTGTCTATAGGAGAAACCAACTATGTCCCTGCTTGGAATATCCTCAATGACAGATACAGCAACAACAACTTATAGTCTCCAAACTACTAGATAGGATCTTAGATCTTCCAGTGATTAATCACGAATCATCATGCAAGATTAAAAAGCTTCACGATACAGTTGTGGAATATCTTGAAGCCATCAATAATTTAAGTATCGATAATTCCAATTGGGGTCCTATTATCAGGCGCATCATCTGCCGAAAATGGGATCATGAAACCAACAAGTTTTATGAACCATCGCTAAGCAAACCCCATTAAATACAGGACTTTGTTGAAATAAGGAAGTTTCTTCAAGCAATATCAATAGAAGTAATTTTAGACATACAAAAAAAAATCGCCCCGACTCAAACAATAATGACAAAGCCAGAAGTACTGATGCTTGCAAGTATTGCAATGAAGTCCACATGATTTGCCATTGCCCAACATTCAAAGCTTTATCATCAGAACTTCGGCTAAAACCTGCCAAAGAAAAAACAATATGTTTGAACTGCTTGAACCATGATTACAAATCCAAATGCAATTCGTCAATGAAATGTCGTATTTGCAACAACCAGCATCATACACATACTTACAAGTCGATTCGGTTACACCACAACAGTCCAGAAAATCAGCGTTCATAAATGATCAAAGAACCGAAACAATAACAAGCCATATCAGCCGACAAGATGAGATGGTATTCCTGGCAACAACATTCATTAAAGTTAGAAATACTTATGGAAGGTATGAAAATTTAAGAGTTCCAATCGACCCTGGTTCCCAATTAGCATTTATAATCGAAGAGGCTGCAAGTCTACTCGCCCTGCCCAGGCAGAAAATTCAAGCAAAAATTACAGGGCTTGACGCAGGAGATCCACAAGTGTCAAAATCCCAGTTACAGCTACTAATTAAGCCGAGATTTTCCAGCAATTTCCAGCTTGATGTTCTCGGAATCGTTCTACCTAAACTAACACGAACTCTTTCTGGAGTAGACCTTGACGTAGACACATTAAAATGGAAGAATGACGTCTTTGCTGATCCAACATTCTATAAACCTGGTCCAGTAGATTTACTTCTCGGGGCCCGAAAATATACCCAGTTAATCTTGGAAGGCATACGAAAAACTGAAGATGACTTCCTTTTGCCAACAAGCAGAATTAGGATGGATTCTTTCCGGAAGCCTACCAAGAAATTCGGGAAACAAACTACAAGTTATCAGCATGATAACATGTATTGAAGAAGATAGATAATTAACTAAATTTCGAGAAGTTGAAGAGGTCTCACAAACACATCCGTTATCAGAAGATGATCAATATTGCGAACAACATTACGAAGCCACCACTACAAGAAATACAGAGGGAACATACCCAGTTAGAATTGCATTCAATGGAAAAGAGAGTCTATTAGGAGTGTCTAGATCACGAGCCGTTGCACAACTGGTTCAGTTAGAGAAAATTATGAGCATTAACAATGAATTGGCAATCGTTTATAAGGAATTTATGCAAGAATATCTAAACCTTGGTCACATGAAAATGCTTCCACATACAGAACTACAGCATCAATATATTATCCTACATCAACCGGTATTCAAAGAATCCGGCACTACAACAAAGTTAAGGGTGGTCTTTGATGCTTCAAGTAAAACTTTATCAGGATTGAGCCTCAACAATACCATGTATGGAGGTACCAGACTATAGCTAGAACTGTCAGATATACTGTCAGATATACTGAAAAATGTACAGGCAGATAAAGATTCACGCTGATGATTTAAAGTATTAGAAAATCTTATGGAGATTTGATAATAACACACCAATTAATGAATATTGCTTAACAACTGTAACCTATCGAACGACAGCCGCACCATACTTAGCTATGAAAACATTACAAAAGCTTCCCAAGACGAGAGATGCAACTTTCCGAATGCATCCAAGGTAGCAATGAAAGATATTTATCTGGACGACTTTCCCTCAGGTGCTGACAGTATAGACAAAGCTCTATCACTACAAGATGAACTCATCAAAATGTTTCAACGAGGAGAGTTCACGTTGCGGAAATGGTCTAGCAACAAACGTGAGTTACTCCAAATGAACTTAAAGATAAATCAGCCGTGGAAATAACTGAAGATGACAAAAGAAAGTCTCTAGGTATCCACTGGGCTCCGTATAATGATAAATTTAGATTCAAAACTGAAATATCGACCAATGATAACATTACTAAAAGAGCATTCTTTCAGAGTTGCTAAGTTGTTCGACCCTCTAGGATGGTTAGCTCCAATAATCATCAGGGCGAAGCTCCTTATCCAAGAATTGTGGTTGCAAGAACTAAAATGGGATGATCCTTAACCACTCTTCATCAAAAGCAAATGGGAAATTTTTCGAACAGAACTAAAGGATGTCGAGAAAATTAATTTATCCAGGTGGACCTACTAAGTAAAAAAAGTCACGTGGAACTACATGGCTTTTGTGATGCCCTTCGAAAAGTCATATTGAGCCGTAGACTACATGAAAGTCAAGAATTCCCTAGATGAAACAATGAAACAAAAAGAGTTCTTCTAACAACTAAATCCAAAGTAGCACCAGCAAGATTGAAAGTTACGTTGCCAATACTAGAGTTATGTTCTGCCTACCGTGCTTCTTTCACATCTACTAAAAAAAACTGCTACAGCCTTATCACTACAAAATTCCCCCGTACATGCCTGGACAGACTTTACAATAGCACTATCATGGATAAAACGGGACCCTTCCAGGTGGAAGAATTTTTTAGCCAACCGAGTAGCAGAAATCAACAAACTTATTCCACATCAACATTGGCACCACGTGCGAACCAACGACAACCCAGCTGATATTATATCAGGAGGGATTAGCCCAACTCTAAAAAAAAAATCATACAATGTAGTGGATTGGTCCATCGTGGTTGAAATCGATCACCGTAACGCCGACGGACCAGATATCAGTCACCACAGAGGAGGAGAGGAGCCACAGGACAGAACGTGTAACCATGTTACAATTGCAACTCAAAGCAAAGCAATTATTAAACCACATGATTCGAGTTAAGCCGTACTGCAGATGATTTATTCAAAATTGCAGAAGACAAACGAATCCGCACATTCTACGCACAGTTGATGAAATGGGAGAAACCCTAGCACACCTAGTCTAAGCCCATAAGCAGGAAATCGATCTCTATAAAGTGCAAGAAGCATTTTATGTAACAATTTGGGAAACAATGTTTTTAGGGTATTTGGACCCCGCTGAATACGAATCTGCCTGTTGTCAAAGCGAAATTTGGACGGGAAGTCTGGTATTCAAGATTGCGGCCAAGATGGCTTTAAACCACCGTTGCCCTATATATCTTTCTTGTCGGTTGGCTTAAAATATTGATTAAACGCCGGCTTAGTGGTTTTATTGGATGCTTATCATATTGAAATGCTTAGAAATTACTTATCTTAAGCCTGGATTGCGTGGGTCCCAAGATGGTCGCCGAAACTTTGGTGTGTTTACGTGTTCTTGTATTTGGAGTGCAATATCTGTCAGATATACAGTTTTTAGTGGTTAAATGTGTTACTAAATACATAGACTATTATATGTGCTACATATTGCTTGAAAACTATTTGATAGATAAAGATATGGAGGGCAGATTTGTTCATCCTCTAGTACTTATGCCTAGATGCCTAAGTACTAACGGATGCACAAATCTGCTCTCTATATCTCTATCTATCAAGGATTTTTTAAGTAATACAGCTTCCAAAATACAATTTGGTAACAGAATTGTGTTACTGAAGGTGTCGAAAATTGTTGGGTCCTCCAGATCGTTTTAAAAAGCATCGATAATAAAACGCGTTGCTGAAGGCGTGGAATGCCCAAACTCCATTGACATATTGATCGGAACACTTCGCAACTGATAATAAATGGTCAAGATTTAGTAAACAGCATAGAGAAACCAGCAAATGCCAATACTTCGGAGACCTCGCTGAAGTCTTCCTGGACAGGGTAGTTCACCTTGGAAGACCGTATGCCAGAGTCGACATCCTTTTCGACCGGTATCGTCCCAAGTCAATTAAAAGTGGGAGCCGCTGCAGACGGACCAGGAGAGCTGCTCCAGTCAGAAGGGACATCACAAGTGCAGCCATTCCACTGCCAAAAGATTGGAAGAATTTTCTAGCACTAGGAGAAAACAAGGCCGAGCTAGCCCGCTTTCTCTCTCAGGAAGTTGTTCAACATATCTTTGAGGCAATCGAAGTTGTTTTTTCCGGAGGGCTCATACATGAAGATGATGTGCGATCAACCAACACCGAATCCGACGTCAGTGCCTTCGCAGCGACACATGAAGAGGCCGATAAACGCGTTTTACTATATGCTGTTCACTCTGATGTTGACAACATCGTCGTCATGGCCAGAGATACCGACATTTGTTTGCTGTTGATCCATCACTCTGACAAAATGACCAGTTCTAAAGTGTGGATGATGAGTGACACAGCGAAAAAAAGGAAATATCTCTCAGTACATGAGATTTGCAAAATTCTTCCTAATGCTCAAAAGAAGAACATCTTGGCGTTCCATGCAGTAACGGGTTGCGACTCGACGTCTGACCTTGCAACAATAACGAAGAAAGCAGCATGGAAAGTCTCCAATGGAATGGCCTGCCAACTTCTGGACAACTTAGGGCACTCTCCGCTAACTCCCTCATCAAAGGCGAATGCAGAGAAGTTCCTCGTACAGCTCTATAAGGTCGGTAAAATTTATCAATAGGTGTTTCAGCAAGTCCAAATATTAGTTTATGGTTAAAACGGTTCTATTTCTTCAAACAGGTGGCCAAAGATTTATCTAACGGCGATCAAGCCAGACATCAGCTTTTCGGTGTAAAAGAGCCAGAAGCCTTACCTCCAACAAACAATGCGCAATGCGCTGCAACTACACCTCTTAAGATGCCATTACTAGGTAAAGAAAGGATGGGAAGCATACTGTGATCAGTATAACCAGTTGCTTTTCGGTAATTAGAATTCAAAAAAATTTCAGGTGAACGTGTGGGAAAATGCTCATCATACCCGACCGGTCGTAATGGATCCTGAGTCATATGGGTGGAGGCTTCATCTAGACGAGTACATTCCCATCCTTATGACCCTTGAGCCCGTCCCCAAAGCCTGCACGGATATTCTAACCTTCAATTGTTCGTCCCATTGCCTGACAACAGTGTGCACATGCAAGAAGAATGGACTGACTTGCACCAGGTTGTGCCACCGCTCACACCAATGTCTTAACTCGTTAAAAGGGTGATTTATTGTCTTTATTGTAGCTATTATTGCCTTCAGCTTACGACACTAAAATATTTTTTTTATAGCTTTATTACAATCGTGCAATAAACAATATTTGACCTCTGGAATGATCGCTTTCTTCACTTCCTTCGGCGGCCATCTTGGAGCCCATGCATTCCAAACTTAAGGTAAGTAAATTTCAAGCATTACAATGTACCTAGCATCAGAGAAAACCCCCAAGCAGATGTTTGAATCATTATTAAAACCCAACGGACAAGGAAAATATAGGGCAACAGAGTTTTGACCACCACCTTGGCCGCCATCTTGGATACCGGACTTCCGGTCCAAATTTGGCTTTGGCAACAGGAAGATTCGTATTCAGCGGGGTCGGAATACCCTAAAAACGTTGTTTCCCCAATTGTTAGATGAAATGCTTCTCGCATTGTTCATTTTTGAAAACGTGCCTAGTCTACTAGTCATAAGATTGATCACTGATCAGATCCAACATTTCAAAGCAGAAATACAAAAGCTGAAAAAAGTGTGAGCTCGACAGTAACAGCAAAATTCTCAATCTTTCTCCATAGCAAACCTCCAGTTAGGTTACCCTACGCGAGTCACCTGACAAAGCTGAAGGCTCACGCCAATACACTACATGGAGGCAATAAGCTGACACTGGATAATAAATGGAAAACGCCGAGTAAAGACGATTATTAGCAACTGTGTAAGATGCCTGCGCCTCAAGGCTCTAATAATCGAGCAACAGATGGGAAATGTTCCAGTTCCCAGAATTACACCGTCTCATGGGAAGCCGGCGTCAAGTCTCTGAAGTACCATTTAAAACGAATAATTGGCGATACACAACTTACTTAATACCAAATAGAAGCTTGTCTTAACTCTAGACCTCCGTGCCCATCATCAGATGATCCAGATGATTTAGCAACATTAATCCCAGGCCATTTTCTAATTGGAAGATAAATTATATCTTTTCCCGATCGAATAACTACAAACATAAACTTGGACGTTGTTGGAAGATGGAAACTAGTTCAGAAAATTAAGAAAGATTTCTGGAAGAGCTGGATAAATGACTATTTCCATCAAGAGGAGATTTAGTTTTAGTAAAGGATCAGACTATCAACAAGCAAATGGCTACTAGCAGGAATCACTGAAGTACATCCAGGGTTGCATTCGAGAACCTGGTATGTCGTATAAAAATCACAGCTGCCGTTCGAAAAGGCGGAGTGTGGATAAAAATCACACCGTTTTCGACGTTCGGAAAGGTGGTTGTCAGCTACTGGTGCACGCACCGGACACTAGTCCTGACTAGAGTATGAACAAGTTTCTTTTGGCTAATTGGCTAATTTTAGACAAACTGGGTAAGTAAACCACTCGGTCACCATTCAAATACCTAGAGCAAGATTGGCACACCGACTTGTGTCGGACTCCTACTCCTTGAAATAATTTTCACACCAGCAACCAGGTTCTCGAACGCAACCCAGGTAAAGACAGAACTGTTAGAGTGGTCACTATAAAGAGAGCAGAAGGAGGCTCGATTAAGAGATCTACGCATCACTTAATTTCAATATTGTCAAATGCCGAGACTGAACAACAGCCAGTCCAGTTGTGATGCTCCAAGGGTCCAAAGCAAATCAGTATTCGATACATTATCCTCAACCAGGACTGTGTACATTATGGGACATTCCCGAATAGACAGGGGCAGTTTCAGAGTTGACCTTAAATACGAGAAAAACAAAATAATAATTTATCAATTAGACGACCTCTGTCAGCAAGTAAAATCAATGGTAATGAACACACAATGCATGTCACATCCATCATTTAAAAGAAAAGGAAAAACAATTTCAATGGATACAAAACGGACTACAAACTGTGGTATCCAAACGTGGAAAAAGAGGAGTTCTAGGAAAACTATTAACCGCAGTATTCGGAGTAAACCATGAGATCTACATGAATATTGACGAATTAGACAAAAACCAGAAGGAGCTTATCAAGGCATTCAACCACCAAACCAAATTTATGCTACATGTTCTATCCACTTTCCAGAATCAACAATCAACCCCAGAGATTTTGGGAAAAAATCAATGAAGGCATTGCTCCGATAAATGAAATGAAAATATATGGTATCGAACGGTGGATGCAAATAAACCAACAATTCACGTTTTCAGTTCATATCAAGTTGTCTTCAATTACATAGATGAACCTCTGGACTATTGTAGAGGATTGTTAGATGTTCACTAACATAAAGACCACCTACTTGATCTAATATCTCCGACCCATGTTGAAAAGGTAATAGCATCTGCATAAAAAAAGATTTCATCCAATATCCAGTTAATCAAGCCTATGATGTATCCTCTCCTGTTATTTTAACAGTTGTGTTATAGCTCAAAATCTATACCTGTCTCTATTTTTATGTGTAGAATAAACAGTGACAGATAACTTAACGTTGCTGTTAAAATAACAGAAGATGATACATCATAGGCCTGAATATATCTTATCCTGTGTTCCAGACCAAAGTAGAACACAGTGAAGACTTCATCCACGTCTATGGATATTTTGTGGGGATAGAACACAACGAATTTATGCTAATCAGATCGACTTCAATTCCAGTAAAAGCCGAAAAAGAGTCATAGTGGATCCAAATGAAGTATTAGTAGTAGATTATGATTCACAGCTATAATTCCAAATATCTAAAGATGAGTTGAGCAACAGTCTGAATATTGCAGAAAATGTTTTCGTATGTTCACCAACTACTACAAGAGGCATAGAGACGAGTCCTAATTGCATAATAGACCAATTATATCAAAGAGAAGAAAATACTTCGTGGAAAATCCTGCAGCAATCCATAGCATCAATAATATGGTAGCAGCCACACTCTCCAAACTCATGGTTAGCGATTGCGCCTGAAAAAACAAAAATTGCCATTATTTACGATGGAACCCGGGATGATGTAGCACTAAATCAAACAGCCATTATTGAAATAGCTTCATATAGCCTCATTAAAACTGAGAAGAACATCCTAACTCTTAAAAGGTCAGATACTGTGACTGTCTTAGAAGCATTATCCAAACCCATACTATAAAATATATCATTATTCCCAGTTATGCATGAAGTAAGGAATGAAGAAATGAACATCAAACAAAAACTTGAAACTAAGCATTGGATAACAGTAAAAAAGCACCTCCTAGTCACGAGCCTTAGTGCTACATTAGTAACTATAATTGTTGTTATCACACTTATGCCTGTATCCACCAATGTCAAAAAACAATAGTTATTTTCTAACTTGTAGTTAGGCAGTCATGCAGTCAGTGCTATACAGGTTCTACAAAGGACGACAGACAATACAAGAAGAAACAGAGATGCGGTAGACATTCTATTAAATACAATTAAAGCTGCCCAGCCACCCACATAAGCTATTGTCCTCGAACCAGTATTGCCCCATGACACTGCACACTGATGGCATGGCAATAGCTTAGAATGTCTAAATCCAAAATTAGGTCATATAAAAATAGCCCTAAATTATGTATATCAAAATCATTACAAAAATTAATTAACCATTAGCGTCCAAGTACCTATTCCTAGGTCATCGACACCAACGTACCGCCGCGCCAGTGGGTCACCAGGAAACATAGGCAATAGATACTACGATCTATACAAGACGCAGGGTCATCAAAAGTTTAATCACCAAATCTTTCGATGTGGAGCACTAAGGAGCACACAATGTTCATGACGTTTGTCAAAGTTGCATTTTTTGTATATAAATAGTTGTTGATTGTTTAATAAAAATCAGTATTAATCCAACAGTTACCAAACTTCCTGGATGTTCTAACCCAACCTACAAACCACAAATAACAAACTACCAAGTGTTCTGAGCATCCTCCTAAATTCTAATATCAGGAATTTACACCGAAAGAAACAGCAATGAGGAGATTTGGTGTTTTTTTTATAATACTACATAGAAGATAAACTGAGTATTATTATTATCAAGCATTTATTGGCAGAAGATAAAGTGGTAACAATACATTACATTAGGTATATATTTTTTTAAATTTCGCACAATAAATATAGACTTTGGTATAATCTACAAGAGAAAATCTCGCGCGTGGGGAATAAGTAAGTAACTAAGTAAGTATATTAACACTTTTTTGGGGAACATTAAAGTTGCCGTTAATTTTTAATAAAAAACATAAATTCAGCAGCATTTCAAACGCAGCAGAAAACGTTCAGTGTTCAGTTGTACAACAACAGCTTTTGTAGTGTTGAGAAAGGAGCTATAGGCCCTGACGTCATTTTAGTTTTAAGAAATCACGATGGTGGTTTGGCAACGTCGCATTGTCTAATTAGGCGATTCGAATCAGCTGATAATTCAAGATGGTGATGCGGCACGAATGTAAACAAACCATTGAGGCTAACATTGCCTCCATATAAATGTGTGTTATTTCTACCTGTTTCACAGTTTAATTTGATGAATTTTAATTTATTTCAATTTCCTTTAATTTTGGTAGTTAAAACCGAGTTATTTGGAATATTTATCTACCAATAAAATACCTGGGCATCAGGTACAAAACGGACCCCAAGAAGCTGTGCCCTGCAAATGAATGTCAAAAAGATAAATTACATGAACCACAGCAACTCCAAAAATAGAAATTTTTCTCAAAAAACCTCCTCAAACTTATAGCGTTTTCCATTTGTCGAACCAGTGCAAAAAAAATGTATCCTTATCCTTACATATTAGGTACATGCTTTTAGAAAAAGATGCGGATACACTCAGTGCGCACTGATTGGCAAATGGAAAACGCCATGATAAAAACACTTTAAAAATTCAAAGAAAATACACAGTATCTTATAGACCCCCGCGTGTTCATTCTCATCAAATTTGACCGAAGGATTTACCATTCTATGTCGGTCATTTACATTTTCCATTCACTGAACAAAGATAGCTAGTGATAAATTTATAACCTCTAATTTCACAGTTTGTTTTTAAAATTTTGTCTCAACATAAAATTGATCAGCGTGTTAAACGAACAAGGTGCAAGGTGCAAATAACGAATGAGGAATTTCATCATTGTCACTTTTCAGAGCTTGGAGAAGGAAAGCATCAAAGATGTGCGTCAGAGCCATTGTGAACGATTCTTATTGGTCGGTTGTTGGTGTATACGTCATACAATCAAGTTTAAATATGTGGTATGAAAACAGCATTTTTAGAAATTATTTATTAAAAAAATAGCACATTTTAAAGCCAACTGGACGCAAATGTATTTTTATTTTGGTTCATACAAATGATCAAATAAAGTCTGTTTTTTTTTTAAAGGTAATTCCCCAAGTCAAAAATGTATTAACTATGTTGGCAAGACAAGCCTTTTCTACATAAAAAATTTAAAAGCATTGACAATTTTATATTGTATTGCCAACATAATGTCATTTTGACTTTTATCTTTAAAAAAAAAAATAGACTTTATGATGAAGCAATGAAATTCAAATATGGTGAAACTCTCCATTGTTTTTAGGTAGAATTGTATAAAAACAAACTGGATACAATGATGCCTTACTGTGATGAATAATTCTACACCTTGTATTATGGTAGCTGAAAGACGTTTCAGAAAACCATTTTTCAAGTATGGCACCACTTTTATACTTGATTATAATTATGGCAACGTCGCATTGCCCAATGTTTACTGATAAATATTATAATCTCTACTTTCACAGTTTGTTTTGGATTATTTTTGAAATTTTGTGTACTGGAACTGTATTTTGTTCATTCATAAAAAGTTTATGGACAATGTTAATTTCTCTGACAAAAAAATCATGTTATAGAACCTCAAAGAGGAGTAAAAAATGATACTTCCGCAAACAACATAATTTATAATGGTTGGTTTTCAGAATTTGAATCATACACCTTACACAGGAGATAGGATGGGTGGTATATGAGGTATAAGATCTGGGTGAGAGTCGGTATATCTCTATATAGAGAGATACTCGTCCATAGATAAGGAAATAGGTGGAAATACATATTCATACAATAAAAAATTGAATAATTTCCATGAGAAATCTAGAGTTGTTTTAATGCGTCAACTAATACATCCCATTTGGGAGAATCATATTTTATTGGCTCAAATAAAATTCAATAATAATTCCCCATATCCAGATCCCAATATAGTTTGTTTTGACAAAAAGAGGAAAAAGAAAAACAAGAAACCTCCACAATGCGGAACATCTGAGCACACTTTAGGAAACAGGGATTGCTAAAATAAACTCCTTAAGGGACGGCCTGGGTCCGGCGACCCTTTTCCCGAACGCACTCTGTGACGGCCACCCCCCTTGGAGCAGGGGATAGCAGGGAATGGAAGGGAAAGCAGGACTGGGACCCTCTGTTATCAGCGTCCGGCCAGACTTCCGAGGTATTACCATACCGACTCGGGAATAGCCGATATTACGGGAAAGAGGCTTTGGCCGTCTTATATTTTGGAGCCCTGAAAAATGGTAGGGTTTCCCCGAATATTTGTGGAGGCTTTGAAAAAATATTATTTATTTTTTTTCACTCTACAACGCAAATGCTGAACTATTACCCAGGCATAAAATATTGTCTTCTTTTCAGGCGCTTCTATTTTTGATGTTTGAAGACATTTATTTATCATGTGAAAAAGCAGAAACAACAAATTTTGATATTGAAAAAAGTTTAAGTTGTGTCCAACCATAAGTCATGCAGAAATCAAAAAACATAATAATGAGATACCTAAAAACCTAAAACCTGAAAAGATCTTTAAAAGCCTTCTTTAATTGGTTATTTTTGCATCTATGGACTTCATAGAAGGTCAACCAGAAGATATTCTTTTCGCCCAGATATAAACAAGTTAATAAATAAAGACATGTAATTATCGTAAAAGGTGAATCGAGATAACATTATATGGCTGGGATGCTGGATCAACCGACCCTTGCCATAAATAAATCCATAAAAACGAGATCCCTTTCTATAATATATATCGAGAGACGGGAGTTTTTCCTTGTGACCGCGGTCCATTGCTTCTAATATACGGCCTCGAATTCCGATATGGAAACTCGCCGGGGCCATAAATTCAAAATTGAACCGGCTATAAGCAAAAGTTTCCATCTTCATCGCATTTCGGCTTCAATTTATATTCACGGTCTTTATAAAAGGTACAACGTCTCTCTTTTCTATTTGAATTTTGTTCTCTTTTTTGGAGAGGATCGATGGTCAGAAAAATATAAATATTGTGTAGCATTTTCACTAGTTTTGCTTAAATGAAATTGATAAGTTGCCAAGAGGAAACTGATGAATTTATTCTCTCTAGTAAAAACCATTTTCTTGGGTTCGATAGATTTTCTGTCCGTTTCTGGTTATTAAGAAACACTTTGGTGCTCAAATATTGTCACGGATTCCGGTTTCACTAAAACTCACTTTACAAACAGTAACAATTTTTATTTATATAACAAATTCTCTTATCACTTATTGAAACGTATACGACAAATTTCGAATTTAAATTAAATACAAATAATACGGATCTATCTAGAATTGCATATCTTTTAGAACCAACTGTTTGAGCACTCCATTGTGATGTGCGCAGTTCGTGTATTTCTTAGTTTTTTCAGTCTACGTGATGTGAAAATTTTGATGGTTAACATCTGTCTAAGTAGAGTAGTAATTATATCTACTACCTGAGTTTCTGTTTCTTTTTTTTTTTAATTGAAAAAAAATCTTCAAGCAATTGAATTACACAAAATGCTGAATTCGAATGTATTTCGTACGAAGATGATATTATATTCAGGGTTTTTGGCTAATCTAATCGCTGCTCTATTAATCGTCTATTGTCCACTAGTGGTAGGTACTCGCACCAGTTAACAATTTCAATGAACAAACATGTCAGCCAAATAAGCTCTCTCGCAGCTTCACAAACAGCCACTATTTCTGCCTATGTCGTTTAAACTCCTACTGACATTTGTCTTTGGACTTAACCATGAGGTTGCTCTTTCATCATAGCATCATGATTATAGCCTCAATTGCTTCTCTATATGGAATCGAAGCATGAGATTCCGATACCTGTTCATCTTCCTTCCCCAATCGAACAGCTTCTCTGACATTAGGTATAGACATTGCATTGCAATCTAGAAAGGCAAATCGTTCCAACGCATCCTTTGTGTAGGCGGCTTGACTTTCTGTGATCAATTACGTGCTATTTCCAGCAGGTTTCACAGTAACTCCTTTTTCAAACTTGCTAGAAACCTTTTGCACATAGCTTTAAATGTAGAAGCCAACAAGCCATCATAGACATTTTTTTTTATATTGGTCCGCACACAAATGACAGTCTATACTACCTAAGCGGTACCATGAACGGAAGAAATTAGGTGACGATAATCCCTATATCTATAGGGGTCCTCGCAGGGGTAGGAAACTTTACCACATAAGGATGGAATGCCTGTGAGGTTTTAGTGGTTCTTAAATAACTTCTAGCTGGAATGAAGCTGGCCAGATCGTCAGAACATCTCCCATGAAAGCGGTAGAATAACGACAAGTCGGCCACCTTGCGTCTGTTCGAGAGACTGCAATGACGATGAGAGTTCGATAATCGATCATTTTTTATTCTTCTTCTTTGTACTGCATCTAATAGAACCAAAGAATGTAGTATCGCTCCAGATGTGGGAACAGTATTCCATACCTCATCTGATTTGAGCCTTGTAAAGGAGGAGAAGTTGTTCGGAAGTGAAGAAGTTTCTTGCACCAAACAGAAAACCTATTTTTTGAGAATCGATTTTGCCGATCGGAGATACATGGTCATGCCTAGAGAAGTTTGTCGATGCGGTCACCCCAAAAAGAGATCCTAAGGGGATGATAGAAAGGTTTTTTTTTCGACATCCTTTTAAAACTGGGTTAGCATCGGCGGAAGATTTCTAACTTGAGAATACTGTTGCTTGAGTTTTGAAAGCATTGGTATCCAGATCACTGTTCATAGAGTGGCGTGTTGAAGTGGCTGGCAGTAAGCGGTTTGTCAGAAGAGAAAGATGCCATCAAGCTACTATCGTCCGTAAATCTGTATATGGGGTTTCTTTGTCATTTAACAAATCATTTATAAAAATGAGGAACAGTGTTGAGCCTATGGGCAGTGTATCAGAAGCCACATCATCGACTACAACATGCAGTGACTGCCTTGCAGAAGGCTCCCCAGCCAATGGCAAAATTCGTTAGGAAGATCATAGAAAGTTTGCTGAGGAGACCTTTGTGCCACACCTGATCAAAAGCCTTGAAGATGTCTAATGTGGCAATTCTGGATTCGCCATGTTTTTCGAGAGTCGAGTTCCAAATATGATTGACCTACGCGAGCAGATCCCCTGTTGATCTTTTAGAACAAACCCCGCACTGTCAGAGATGGGCTTCGAGGTATTTAACCAGTTTCAGGCTGACTGCCTTTTCAATACAGTGCAAGTAGCATCATCTACTGTCCATCCTTCTTGATAAACAAAGGGTCTGCATTACTTTTCGACAAATACCATGTATGGAATTTTCAAACCCTTCCATGGTTGCTTCTGATACAGTTCTTCATCTAGATATCTATGCAAAAACGCTGTGATTACATCGAATTATGTTAGGAACATGTTTCTACTATAGCAGCAATGCTCGACAAATATCATTCTAATTGGACCGCTTTCTGCTACTGGGCTGCAAAGTTTGAGCATATTCTTCGCATTTTCTTTGTGAAAATCTTTGGATTATTAGTCTTGCCTTGTATTTTCTACAAGACCAGGCGACTACACACATAGGCTTCAAGGACCAGTTGACTGATACCCATATTACCCATTATGCTACTGCATGTTGAGCTAGAATTTACTTATTAAAATACGTGAGCCTTCGGCAGCTCGGCTATACTTGGCTTCGGCAGCTCTGCTATAATCGGCTTCAGCAGCACCGCCTCGATTCGCTGAGACCGGGTACAAGCTAATTCGTCTTATCATTCCCTATGTGTCTAGTAGGTTGGTCCGGTCTCTACACCTACTTGCAGGTAATCGCGTTTTTGTCAGCAGACTTTTTACAATTTCATCATAGTTTTCTTGTACGTCTGGAAACTTTCAGTGCTGACATCAGACTCATCAGCTCAATTTCATAATCTTTTACGTATTCAGGGATTTTCCTTTCTCTCATTGGAGGTCTTGGAGTGCCATTTAATTAAACTCTGTCTAACCAAAATTGAACGTTGAAGATCACTTACTCATCCTTGTAGCCATAGGATTCACACGTTCGGACCTATTTTGGTTTGATAAACACAGTGCGCGTGCAATAAAGACAGCAGCAAAAAAGCAACGTCTGTGATATATTCGAGTAAGCGACCTTCAACGTTCAACTTTGGTTATACAAGTTTATGTCCATTTTAGTTTGATTTTTTGACCTTTTCTCTTCATCTTACAATTAGCTTTTTTCTTTTCTTGGACTTCGAATTTCCTGATTAATATTATTTTTTGAATCTCTCTTTTATCTTGCATCGATAATGATCGTTAAATTCTTGCTCTACAGTATATTGTTGTGGTATGTTACCAACCATAAATCTTTAAGTTCAGTTAATTTGCATAATTTATGTAATATCCCACAATTAATTTAGTATAACCTAAAACCTATACGCTATTACATTTCGCCTTCCGAATGTTTATCAGCAGTATCAGTAACATCTAGGTAGGTACTTTAAAATCTACAGTCCCTAATTATTTACCAGATTAGGATCTACACTCAACCCATTCCGACACCAATCCGACAATTCATAAAAGAGTCCTCAACATAATTTTTTACGAGTACCATTTACGTCGAGCACATGATTAATCTGATAAGCCATATTATCCCCTAAAAAATCACACAAATCTTCAAAAAATAGTCAATTGTAAATGAATTATATCGCTTTTTTCCCTTATACCCTAAATAAACACACACACATACACAAGAACCCTGTTTTTATATTTTGGGTAAACAGGGCCGCCTAGAGAATTATAAAAATGTTGTTTTCTGGCAAAAAAGTGCGAAACAATAATAGGACAGGGGTACAATATAAGGGTGTCGGGGTGCGAAAATTTGTCATTTTAGGGTAAAAATCTGATAATAACCGGTGTCAATTACACGCATCAGGAGGCTATTGTGTAGCGATTTCGGTATTTTGGAAACAGGTACGGCGCTATTCATGGGATACAATGTGTAATTCCGGATTTTGTGTGAGATTATTGGGAATTTAGAGTGGATTTTGACTAATAGGTAA